TGAGCTAAGGATGCTTATCGAATTGGGAGCAATATACGCTTCCAGCTGCACTCGAATCTCTCTGTAAGTTTGGGTTCCAGAGGGCCCCGCTTCGAAACAAGGGAACCAAAGCTCTAGCAACCCATACCTAGTTATCTCCATAGTCTGGTCGTTGGCGACACTTACAAAGAGAGGCTCAACCTCAAGCTCTCGGATCAGCTTCGCAGTCACTCCAAGCATGTCTTGCGAAACAAGGTGAACACTCCCACCGCTATCAATCAAGAGATACGAGGGGTCGTCCCTAGTGACTGCAGGAAGTGCCAAAGTTGGAAAAGCAAGGCACTCTGAAGACCGATCCCGAAGCTGAGGCTGCGGCGCGGAAGCAAGGCTCAAAGCAATCACTGCTTCGGCTACGCAAGCATACGTGAAACATGACTGCCGTGGGCTACTCAAGCATGCAACCAACCGAAAAATCAAGCATCCTACCATGCAAAACATGAAAAACGTGAAAATCAAGGCAGTCATGGTGAAAAACTGTCCCCTCTCAGGCATTGCTTCAGAAATCCGACATAAGAAGGGCCGCTTTGCCAATCTTCCCGGCACCCTTTGGAGCAGTGGGAGCTGGCGCCGCAGTCGAGGAAGGTGCAGGAGGGGCCACCTTGGGAGCGGCACTCTCTGTTGCCGCCGCTGCGGTCGCAGCAGCCTTCTCATCGGCAATCCTCTTCCTGCACTCGTTGGCCCAATGGCCCGGCTTGTGGCAGTAATTGCAAGTGCCCGGCTTCTTCTTTCCAGGAGCCGGCGTTGCAGATCGTGGCCTTCCGCCCTTCTTGCCATCTTTGCCTTTGTCCTTTCCCTTTCCTCCTTTGTCTTTGCCTTTGCCTTTATCACCATGCTGTCTTGGCCTTTTCCATGACCTTTTCCTTTGGGCTCGCCACCCTTGGGCTCACCCTTTTCAGAACGGTCACCACCAAAAGCTGCAAAGCCCTTGGCGTTCGAGGCTTCCTTGTGAAAGTTCAAAACACGAAGCTGCTCATCGTAGAAAACCAAACCGCGCTCAAGCTGCTCGTTCTCAAAGACCCATGCAACAAAAGGTACTTCTTGCAATCATCATTAGAGGTGCTGGCATGAATACCTCTGCGTCCGGCCGCAGTAAGAGTCCAAGACTCGAGTTGCGCTCCCTTGGGACAGCAACCCGAAAGGGTGAAGCTATAAGCACCAAAGCTCGGAAGGTGTGAAGGCCCTTGGAGGAGGCAGTTAGTGGCCGTAGTGGGTGGCCTCTGGCCTACACTTAAGGTTTAGAATCTTGGGTTGTAGCTGCTAGAGGCTTTCTGCTTGGAAAAGGTGACGCTTCAGGTGCACTTGGCACTTTGTAGGGGTTGGATACCCGTCCCTCTCTTTGGTTTTGCCCTTCTAAAAATTTAAGCCGCTGCGCGGAGCTTAGTTAAGATTTAAGGTGGTTCCCAAGCTCCTTAAGCTTAGTGGTTGTCTGTGGCAAAGCCAAAGGGGGGGGATCCCAAAACCTTCAAAGGGGGGAGGCATGAGTACCACCATGCCTGAGATCCTAGCTGAGAGGCCAAAGTCACCAATCGGGTTGTTATTGGACGAACTAGATGGCCTCCGTTTCTCGCTCCCCAATGCCAAAGCGGGTATCAAGTCGCCGGTTCGCGATGGTAGCCTCATCCAAATGTCTCTCGCGCCTCGGAGAGATCCCGCCGAGGTCGGCAGACGCCACCGGGGCACCAGCTCCAATGCCCGGCGACCCGCGGCGACGGGCGGATCGCACACAGATCCGCAGCAAGGCACGCCACTCCTCCACTGTGGTGTTTTGCTCCCTGTGCAGCTCGTTTTCTATCTTGCCAGGGCTCTGACCGATGAGCCTGAGGCGGTCGAGCTTAATGGCCTGCAGTTTGTCGAACTCCGAGTCAAGGCGGAGGTTCCGACCTCTTTAGTTGGCCAACCCCAAATCGCGATTGCTGCCCGCATGATGGAAGGCTTTCATCGTGGACTTCTCCCTGCCCGACGCGGAGATTTTGATCCGCAGATGTTTTCCTACCCCGGACTCTGTAAAGGCACGTTTCGCCTCCTGCTTCCTCTTGATGATGCCTCCCTGGGATTGCGGGCGCAGCCCGCTCTTCCCCTCCAGTCTGCTGGACTTTTGCACGCCGCATTGTGTCGCCTCCGCACGGCGGCCACCGCCCGGGGCTCAGAAAATGGACTTTTACTTCCCTGACCGTCTGTGGCGCCTTGCCCACTTCGATGCACGGGACGTTCGAGCTCAAGTTCTGATCAATCACTTAGTGGCACAGGAAGCTAATCAGGGGGTTCTGCCCGACGGTAACCAACCGTGGTTTCGCCTCGGACACACGCGGGGGCAAGACGAGTGGCGTGCAGCGGCCCATGCTTTCATCGAGCAGGGCGGACTTGGCCCGGGCATCCAAATCTCGTTCATATCCAACGATCTTATGCCACACCTTCATGAACCGGACCTGGACACCCTCCAGTACGGTTTTCACCGCGTCAAAACTTTGTATGCTGCGGGCCAGTTTCAATTGCTATACCTACTGCGGGAATCCCATTTTCCAACAAGTGGCAACGACATGCAGCGTAAGCTTGATGAATGGCCACCTGCTTCGGAGAGTGTCCAGTGACCTTGGACGCATGAAATGCTCAAGGTCCAACCTTTCGACATACGTCGACGGGTCTTTCCACTGCCGATGGCCTGGATCTGGACTTGTGGGTTCGGCGTGTCCGATCGGGACACAACAAGACCTTGGGGTCTGTTCGACGGCCCCTGGACTCATTAAATCCTTAAGGTCCAACCTTTCGACATACGTCGACGGGTCTTTCCACTACCGATGGCCTGGAATTGGACTTGTGGATTTTGGTGTGCACGATCGGGACACAACAGGACCTCGGGGTCGACCGTTGTTCGACGGAACTAGAACGGCGGCCGGAGCCTTGATTTGGGCTCCACTGACGGTCTTGGGCAACTTTGGGCGACGGCCCTCTGTTGTTGTTGAACGATCGCTGAGGACCCGTAGCATATGCTGAACGGTTAACCCCGGCAAAGCCTGGGCACCGCAGCTAGCTCCGCTTTCTCCAAGTAGGTTCCCTGTTTCACCGCTGTTTTGTTTGTGTTTGGTGGTTTGTTCGTTTGTAGGGACCGAGTGCTACAGCCGTAGTCGACGAGGCCCATGCAAGCCAAAAAAAATACTTGTGGCCTCGTCTTCGATTCTTGGGTCTGCTATTGCCTTTGCGAGGCCCACTCTGGTGGGAAGCTGGGCTTGCAACTTGGCTGTGCACCTGCCATCTTGCTTAGCATACATCTTGTCTCCGTGTGTTGTGGAGGCGCTGCCCCTGCGGCCATGCTTGTCCCTGTTCTGCAGCGCACCTCTCCCTCGGAGAGCCGGGTAGGATGTGTGCAGCTTCTTATTCATGCTATGGGGAGGCATTGCGTTGCCCAGTTTATCTGGCAAGCGGGGCATCTGAGCCGCTTGAGCAGTTAAGCTTAACAAGGGCTGGATGTCTGCCGGCGAAGTCTGCAAATCGCAGCCCGTTTCACAATGGTGTGCATAGTATTTTCTCTTCTTGTACAGTTGCCTAGCTTTTTCGTTCTTCGCTTGCTTAGCTTCTTGCAGGGACTGAGAGCTGCGGACGCAGTCGACGAAGTCCGCCCACGCCAAAGGGAAGCTGGGTCTTAACTTTCTAAAGCACCTGCCACGGACGCCTGGATCTTTTGAGGCGTTGCAGAATTGTGGCTGAAACAGCTTTTTGAGAGAGAATTGCGATCAATGCAAAGGATTCAACAAGAGTTGTGCAACTGCCAATGCCTCTCTCTGCCGCCCAATCTTTGTTGTTCTTTTTCTTTGTTTCTCAATTCTGTTTGTTTCCGATGTTTTTGGCGGGTGAAGTGGCTGCGCGGACTTGGCCGGCAAAGTCATTCCGCAAGAATCGAACCCAAAGTTTTTCAGAGTTTTTTTGTTGCGTTTAAACCACCAAAAGCATTTCGTGTGGCTTTTTTTTCTCAGAAGTGTTAGTCGGACGTATAGTATTAATATTAATGGTGTGTTCGTAATACGAATAGTATTAATGGTTTTAATAGTAATAATAGTATTAAAGTATTTATAGTTTTAAGTTTTAAAAATATTAGTGGTGCTAATAGTATTATGTTGATGCTCATAAGTCCGACCGCTGTGGCATGTACTTTCAAGCTTTGTGCAGCTCGCTTGTCACATGTGCTACATGCAGAGTCATGGACTGCAGATATGTATAGGTAGACGTCCGCCAGAACAAACTGGCAGCTGACAACTACGTGTCTGTGTAAAAGGATTTGCTGTCCGAAATTCGTGCCATGGCTCAGTGAACAACCATCAAGCATGTCGAACCATGCATCTGAGCAGGCTAACCCAAGACCTGAGGCGGCTATGCCTCAACAGGTTATGAGCGCCCAAGTGGCAAGTGGAACGAGAGCTTCTGCGTTAGAAGGTGAGACTCGAGGCCCTGATTATGGAGCTGCTTTGAGTGGAGGTGCCAATGCAAGGAGTTCGCTTCCGAATGGTGTGAATCCTGTTATCTCGGGAACGAGAGGACAGGGACTCCATCAGGAGGGTGTGAGCTCGGCTGCTACAGCTTTACCGATGGGTGGTTTTTCTGGTGATGGTGCTCAACAGAGTGTGGAAACCGGATCGGGCGCGACAACCGGACACGGGACGACGCGCGACACGCACGTTACAGCAGCAGCACCACAGCAACAACCTCCAGCAACTTCTCAAGTGCCTTTGCAGAGCCAGCAGCAAAAGCAGCAGCCCGTTCTTCGTCAACCAGACCCTGTGCAACCTCCGCGTGATCAACTATTAGGGCCACCTAGTTCAGGGAGTCAGTATGCCGGACAGCCTTTTATTCCTCCGCAATTGCAGTCTGCAGTTCAGCAGTTGTCTCAACAAAGAGCTTCGGTGGTGTAAGCGGTACAGGAGAGGGCTACGAGGGCTTTGCATGGACGGTCCCAGGACTCGGGACAAGCAATGGGCTCTTCTACACCAAGGGCGTTTCCCATGGATGTGGAGGACCGGGGTGATGGCATCGAGCAGGCGAGTCGGCAGGGGTTATGGTCTGTTACTCGGATCAGTGAAGTTCTTCATCGGCGGGTAGTTGCACCTGTCATGGAGCATATGTCTGGACCTCAAGGACCTTCGACTTCGTCTGTTTGGCATTCCCCAACGGCTACCACACCAGCCAAAACACCTTTGATGTCTCCTGAGGTGAGACAAGCCATGGCGGAATGGACAGCTCAGTCCACTACATTGACGCCCAGACCTCCAACGGCATCTGCTGTTCGTGATGATGCAGGTTCCTCTGCTAGCATATCTCAGGAGCAGATCATGGAAGAGGTCAAGAAGCAAGTGCAGATTGCAATGGCGGGCCGAGATAGTGAAATGAAAGATTTGAAGACGCAAAACCAAGAGTTGAAGCAAGCTCTAGAAGCGTCAGCTCAACTGCTCAATGAGGTGATGTCTGCTGGTGGTGGCGGAGTTCAAGGACAACTTCCTCGAGAGGCTCGCGAAGGGCATCTAGGCCAAGAACCTGGGCGCAATCTTGCGGGTGAAGGAGTAAGTTCCAGGGAACCAAGAGAGGCTCCACCAGGTAACGGAGGGGTTCCACGGGTATCTGAAGGCAATCCTCTTACATGGGGCAGACCGAGTTCGTCAGCCGCAGGTGGTGTGGGAGGACTTTCGGATCGGTTGTTTGGTCGTGGGGGCAGTCCAACAAGAGTGGAGGCAGGAACAACCCAGCTTCCCGTACCTCAGTTTGGTCCTCCGAATGACTTGCAGCCGCGTGAGACCGACAATGTGGATGCAAAGGCCCCTGTGGACCTCCTCGTTCAAGGAATGAGGCAGTTGCAACAAGTGTATATGGACAAGCGAGGCAGCGCAGAGACAGAGAACTTGAAGGGTGCCACGGAGTTGGCTCCTCTGCCCGAACTTACTGGTGAAACTGGAGTGGCTGTATGTTGCAGAACAGACCATTGGGGCCATGTCAGATTCCGCAGCCCAATGGTATGAGCGCACGCTATCCTGCGCCAAGGAAGCCTACACAAGGTACCAGTTGGCCTCTCCTTTGGAACGACTCTCTGTGGCCCCCCGTATGGCCCCGGAGCTACTGGAACCAAAGTGGGTGCGCTTGGACGGGAAGGTGATGTCCCTGATTCTCAATGCGATGCCGAAGGCAGTTAAGGAAGATGCGGTCACTCACAGGGTGTCTTCGGTGGCTATGGTGCTGTACAGACTACACGTGCTGTATTCGCCGGGCGGCATAGCAGAGCGTACAGCAATCTTGAAGCACCTAGAGGGCGTGTCTGCCGGGGATGCTGTGGTGGATGTGATTGCAGCACTCAGGAAATGGAAGCGGCAGCTTACGCGATCCCAGGAGATGTACCTGACTCCGCCGGACGCCAGCATCCTTCTAAGGGGCATTGGGCATTGAGGTGATCTCGACGGCCTGTGTGCAGAGGCATCCAGAGATGAGTTTCCGCCTGTCGCTTGCTCGCAATGAGTTGCAGCTCCAAAGCAGACCGACGAATGAAAGTGTCATGAAGTTCTACGACCACCTCCTGGCAGAGATGCAGCAGGCCTTACCGACCAAATGGGCCATGAAGGGTTCCAGTGGTGAAGCTCCGAAGATCAAGGCGATTGGAGCGGGAACTGGGGAGGCCTCATCGTCTACGAGTCCTACTACGTCACCAACGAGGGCTGGCGGTAAAGGACAGGCTGGTGGGACCCCATGTAAGTTCTTCATGTCCGATGCTGGGTGCAAGCGCGGCCAAGCATGCAAGTGCCAACATGAGTTTGCAAGTCGAGAAGAAAAGCGAGCACGGTGTTGGCATTGTGGGTCGAAACAGCATCGCCAAGCTGAATGCCCAGTCAAAGATGCAACCCGTCAGTCAAGGTCGACAGCGTCTTCCTCCTCGATGGTGGTTCCGAAGGCTGCGGCTATGACTACTGTGACAGTGCCGGAGTTTAAACCTGAAGGCCCTCCAACCACGACCTCAACGACAACCCCTTCGACTACGTTGGCTTCGGAATTGAGTTCGGGGTATGCTTCTGTGGTACAAGCGGAACCGGTTCTACAACCTCCGGGAAATCCTGTGCAGTCTGAGGAGTTTCAGACCTTTATGAAGGAGGTCAACACCATGTTGCAACGAATGACTCGGCTCAATCGTCTTGAAGTGGTGAAGCCAGTGGCCCCGAGATTGCGAAGATGGATGGACAGCTGGGCGCTGCTTGACTCTGGTGCTACACACCCGTTTCGGAAGTCGTCACCGAGTCATCATGAATGCACCCAGACCAGACTGTACAAGTGCAACTGGCGGATGGTCAAAGTGTGGCTCTTCAGCAAAACCGAGCCGGAACACTGATGCCGGTGAAGGATTCTGTGCTGGAACGAGGCGATGGTCTCACGACTATAGTTCCCCTTGGAACTTTGGTGCAAGAGTTGAATTGCACAGTTTCCTGGGACAAACGAGGCCTACGTGTACGACATCCGGAACATGGGGAGCTCGTTATGCATGTGTCGGGATCCTGCCCCTTCATTGGGGAGACAAGGGCTTTAGAGCTCATCGGCGAGATTGAAGCCCGAAAACTAGAGCAGCTCAAGGCGAATACGCTGGAAACGCAGATGAGGGTCCTGGGCATTGAGGCGGAGACCACCTTCGAGACCAAGCTGACAGAGTATCGGAGGACCGGCAAACGAGCGGATGGATTGGGGGCTTTGATGGCCAAGGACTCCCTGTTCGGTGAGCTTACAGAATCCCAAAGGTGTGAGCTGGTTCAGGACATTGACCTCAGCGATGCGGCCGGTGTGTGGTATCTGAAGGCGTTGCCAATCAAGAGGTCTTTGAGGAGGAGGCTGTTGGGCTCCCAGTGGATAGTCAACCTATGTGCCGGAAGCGGGGACCGATCTGACTTCAAGGCCTTGGAAGAGGAGGGCTTGGCGCTGTTGGAGTTGGACATCAAGAAGAGCAAGGCCTTCAACTTGCGTGGGCCTAGCCATGCCTATCGTGCTCTTCTGTGGGCGGCGATGCGAGGTCAGTTGGAAGGTTTGATGGGCAGCCCGCCTAGATCTGAAGGAGACGGAGAGCTGGTCAAGAAACAGTTTTTGTTGTGGTGGCTGGCAAGGGTCGCCTCAGATGAACTGGAGTTAAGACGGCCTTACTTCGTGATGACCATGCCGGTGAACAGTGCACTGTGGACGTCTTCGGTGTGGGCACAAGCGCGGGAACTGGCTATGAAGTTTCGGTGGACAACTTCGGGTATGACCAGATGTGTCACAAATTTGCCTACGAACCTGGGCAACGTGCCTTGGGAGCGTCGAGGACCAGAAGGACAACTGGAATGGACTCAAGACTTTAGACATGGTTTGATTCAAGGAGTCCGGCGTTGGAGGAACATGATCTCTATGTTCCGGATTAATGGCCCGCTTTCAGAAATGACCAAGGAAGAGCTGGCGAGATGGACCCAACATGTTCGTCAAGGGCACACACCGTATCACAAACGGTGCCAGACTTGCGTTGCAACAAAGGCCACGGGGCATCAACATCGCAAAATCGAGGCGCCTTCGTGCTTTACGCTCTCCGTGGATGTAGCTGGACCATTTCGGGTTAAGGGACAGACGCCTCAAGCTTTGGACTACAAGTACATGCTTGTTGGATCATATGTCATGCCTGTCTTGAAGGGTGGAAGTTGTGGACCTGAGCACCGGATTGATAATGAACCAGAGGGTGGAATAGGAGATTGTGATCCTCCAAGTCCCAGTGCTCCAATTGATGGTGGTCCAGAACCCTTTGAAGATCCATGTCCCAGTGCTCCAGTTGATGATGGTCCAGAACCCCTCGAAGATCCAGGTCCCAGTGCTCCAGTTGATGATTGTCCAGAACCCCTTGAAGATCCAGGTCTCATCCCTCCAGGTGACAGTCATCCAGTACTTAGTGGAGCACCAGGTCCAGAAATGGTGGAAGCAAACAAGCTTGACGACTCTGTGGACATGGACGGTGTGTTTGAAGTAGAAGTTGAAGAAGCCGTTCCACCAGTTGGGGATTTGGATAGAGAAGAAATGGACCGGCTAAATGAACAGTACAACGAGCTGGTCAGTACCTGCAAGTCAAGGCAGATGGACTGGAAGTTTTCCGGCTACATTCTGATCGGGCTACTGAGCTTTGCAATGGAAGGTTGCGTCAATGGCTCCTGGAACGGGGTGTGCTTGCTACTACGGGCGAGGCACAAACTCCACAACAAAATGGAAGGGCGGAATCAACAGTGAAGTTCGTGAAGGCAGAGGCCAGGCTACTGATGACCACAGCGAAGTTACCGAAGCAAACGTGGCCCCTGGCTATGATGTATGCCACTCACAAGCAGAGGCATTTGGCTTTAGGCAGGACAGAAGAGCTGCCAACTTTTGGCACACCAGTCTACGTGCGCACGAAGGTCTATGGTAGAGCTGGCAAATACGATGTTGACAACAAGTGGGCGCCCGGAGCTTATGTTGGACCATCAGAAGACGTTCAACATGGACATGTTGTCAGGTTTCCCGATGGGACTTTCGTGACCAGCCTCCATTTGAAAAAGGCTCTTGTGAACGCTGACGAGTTGGTTGATCTAGAACCTCGAGAAATTGAAGTTCCCCTACCAGAAAGAAGAGTTCGCGGTAAAACAAGGCTTGCTAAGCTCTTTGGTGTGCACCCTTTGACGGTTGAGGAGGAGCAGGCAGAGAACGAAGCTAAGAAGTTGTTTCAGTTGAATGACTGGTCTGTGGAGGCAGTCTTGCGGCTCTACGACTACTTGAAGGCTATTCAAGGCCACCGCCTCGCTGGGAGAGCAGCTTCGTCTCAGGGATCTTCATGGTATACAGGTACTTTTGTGCATGGTGGAGTTGCGGGTCTGAGGTCCTCTACTACACGTTTGAAATGGTGCACCAGATACCTTGTGGAGGCAGCCAAGAAGATCAATGGACACAGTGAGTTCACTGCTTTGGGTTTGATGGAAAACATGGACATTGGTTACCACAAAGACTCGCATAATGAAGTGGACAGCTGGAACGTGGTCACCCTACTACATGCTCCAGAATGCGGTGGTGATATTTGGGTAGAGCATGAGGAGTTGGATCCCAGATTCGCAGAGTGGAAACAAGTTGCACGAAAAACCTGGAAGAAAGGCTTTGCGCATCGGCTGGAAGTGGGCCAACCCTTCAAGTTTCATCCCCGAAGATGGCATGAAGTTCAACCATGGACGGGACGGAGGGTGATTCTGGTTACATATACTCCCAGGATCAACAAGCTACACTACATGGACCGAGATGTGCTAGAGTTTATGGGCTTTGAAGGTGAGCACTTGATCCACAACAACGGTGTCCAGAACTCAAACGCGATCCACAACAACGGTGTCCAGACCTCAGACGTGATCCACAACAACGGTGTCCAGAACTCAGACGTGATCCACAACAACGGTGTCCAGAACTCAGACGTGATCCACAACAACGGTGTTCAGAACTCAGACGTGATCCACAACAACGGTGTCCAGAACTCAGACGTGATCCACAACAACGGTGTCCAGAACTCAGACGTGATCCACAACAACGGCGGTGTGCAAGGTGGTGATTGCGAAAACAACCACATAGAGCTCCATCTTCTCAGATCACCAGAGGGTTCCAACAAGGAGTTGCTAGATGACGTGTTATTGGCAATGGCGGAGGATCAAGATCAATTACTTGAAGACCTGCAAGAGAGATCTGACAGGCTACGGTGGATGATTGAAGAAGAAGAAATTCTCGCTGAAGAACGCCGCCGTGCAGGCCAGCAAATCTCAGATGATGTGGACCATGTGCGGGCCTACCTCGACGACATGATCGAAGAAGTGAGCAAGCTCAAGGCGGCGAGCTCTTCTCGGGATGTTGAGGCGTGCTTGAGGGCCTTGAATGGAGTGGAGGAGCCGGATTATGAGAAGTTGCTTTCAGAGTTGGAGGGCGACTTGGAAGTGGTCCATACAGTTCCTTTGAACCAAGTGAGAGCAGCTTTGGACAACTGGGTTGAAGCCTTAGAAAAGGAGGTCAAGCAGCTTTTGGATGGAACTCTACGCCCAATACCACTCACCAAGGCAAGAGAGCTTGAACGCCAAGGCCTTCTACGATTGGTCCCGTCCAAGGGAGTATTCACCCTGAAACCTCCTCTGGTCAAGGGCAAGAAGGTGAGAAGAAAATTCAGATTAGTCCTATGCGGAAACTACGTGGAGCGAGACGATGACACCTTTGACTTGTATGCCGGGGGTGTTTCAGCAGACACAGTTCGTCTTTGCCTATCATACGCTTGTCATCGTCGATGGCGTGGGGGAACCTCAGATGTGACGGGGGCATTCCTTCTGGCAGAGTGGCCACAGCATTTAGCTCGATATGCTATATTTCCCCCGAGGATTTTGGTGGAGGCCGGCTTCGCCAGCGCAGAGGATGCTTGGGAGGTCATTCGACCTCTCTATGGCTTGAGAGGGTCTCCTTCGATATGGGCAAAGCATCGAACAGATCGTCTACGTGAAGCAAAAATCCCGTACAAAGGACGTACAATCGTTTTGGTGCAGTCAACGGCAGACCCAGAGCTATGGATGGCATATGATGAAGATAGCACCTTGCGTGCTACGGGAGGTTTGCTGGCCCTGTTGATCACCTATGTCGACGACCTCTTTTACCTGGCCGAGCGTTCCCTCGTGGAGGCCCTCCATGAATGGGTGCAGAAGGAATGGCCGTGCTCGGCGCTGGAATGGGCAGATGGTGAGCAGGGTACAAGGTACCCTGGAATGGAGATCAAGCAAACTGAGGACTGTTCATTTGAGCTGTCACAAGAAGGCTATATTCGGGAGCTGCTCAGGAGTTACGGCTTGGAGGAAGCTGTGGACACTAAGCTGCCGTGCCCACGAGAATGGTTGGCTGATGATGGTTCTGAGGAAGAAAACTTTCACAGCTAACGAGTTGAGATTGGGGCAAAAGGCGGTTGGAGAGCAGCTCTGGCTTATGATGCGGTGTCGCCCGGATATCCAATTTCCGGTGGCTATCCAAGGTCAGCAAGCAGCCGAATCGCGTTGTCCAGATTGCGAAAAGACTCCTCGCCTACCTCAAGGCAACGGTTTCCATGCGGATGGTTATTGGTGGAAAGAAGAAGACAGCAAGTGGTGCAGATCCGGAATTGACAGCATGGAGCGATGCGAGTTTTGCTCCAACGGGCGAGAAATCGTTCGGTGCGTCAGTGGTGACAGTGAATGGTGATCCTGTCGCTTGGAAAGCATCCAAGCAAGCCTTCGTGACATTATCGGTTATGGAGGCAGAGCTGCTGGAAGCATCCACCGCCACCGTACTCCTAGAGAACATTGGGTGCCTTTTAGATGAGCTTGTTGGTAGCCGTGTGGACAGACGACTTTTGGTGGACAATGCGTCGGCGGTCTCGATGATCACTGGTGGGCCTGGAAGCTGGCGTACAAGACACCTTAAAGTCCGAAGTGCAAAGATTCGTGAGCAAGTGGAAAACAGTATGCTGTCGGTGGAACACGTTGGAGGTGCGGCACAGTTGGCCGATCTGGCCACAAAAATGCACCCGAAGGTCAGGTTGTGGGAGCTTCTACTGCTATGGAGCTTCAAGGATCTTCCGAGGGAGGCAAATGAAGCGCTGCAGATGAAGGCTATGTACATGACCTGTTTGATTTTGGCAATGATGTGCCAACCAGCAAGCGCGTCAGATGAGCAAGAAGGCATTGTTAAAGCAGCAATACCTGGGGTGGGAGTCAATGAGTTGCTGGTCGTGACCGTTTTGGTTTGCATAGCTACTGTGGGTGTCCTGGAGATGCTTAAGTGGTTGTGCAGGCGTATCGCTGGAGCTTGCAGTGAAAGTCCAAAGCAAAAGAGGCTCAGGAAGCTTCGAGAAGCTGCCAGAGCTGCAGCTGAGGAGGAGGTCGACAGGGCTGTCCTTTCCAGAGTGGAAGAGCCGCCTGAACCTCATTATGAGCCGAGGCCAGTGACGAGGAGAGCAGAACCTCTTTACACGACTGGAGCTACGTTTGAGGCGTATCCCCATGAGCTTTTACAAGACGGATTCCCACCGATCCAAGCTGCGTACAAGTGCGACGTGTCATGGTTTGCGAAACGGGGGCATGGTCTACAAAACGGAGTACTGTGCCTACTGTGCAAAGAATGAGCCGCTGTATGTGAAACGCAGCCGCTCCCTCCATTGAGCGAGGGTAATTGCATGAAGTTCCAGTGGAGCTGGGATGACTATGAAGTGCACTACGATAATTTGAAACCCTTTCAGATTCGTGATCTTGCGCGTGGCGCTAAGATCAAGGAGGAGTGTCGATGCTCACAAGTCCGACCGCTGTAGCATGTACTTTCAAGCTTTGTGCAGCTCGCTTGTCACATGTGCTACATGCAGAGTCATGGACTGCAGATATGTATAGGTAGACGTCCGCCAGAACAAACTGGCAGCTGACAACTACGTGTCTGTGTAAAAGGATTTGCTGTCCGAAATTCGTGCCATGGCTCAGTGAACAACCATCAAGCATGTCGAACCATGCATCTGAGCAGGCTAACCCAAGACCTGAGGCGGCTATGCCTCAACATATTAAAAATATCAATAGTATTAACAGTATTAGTAGTATTAATATTATTAATACTATCAATAATATTAATAGTATTAATAGTATTAATAGTCGTAATAGTATTAATAATATTAATAGTATTAATAGTATTAATAGTATTAATAGTATTAATAGTATTAATAGTATGAATAGTATTATTAGTATTAACAATATTGATAGTATGAATCGTATGATTAGTATGAATAAAATTAATAATATTAAGATAAATAGTATTAATAGTATTAATAGTATTAATAGTATTAATAGTATTAATAGTATTAATAGTAGTAAATAGTAGTAACTGTAATATTAAGAAGTGTTGCATGAGTAGTATTAGTTGTAAGTAATAGCAATAATAGTATTAGTAGTACTAGCAGGGTTCGAACACCGGTGTTTGAATCCTGGGTTCGAACACTGGTGTTTGAACCCTGGGTTCGAGCACTGGTGTTTGAACCCAGGGTTCAAACACTGGTGTTTGCACACCGGGTTCGAACACTGGTGTTTGAACCCTGGGTTCAAAAACCGGTGTTTGAACCCTGGGTTCAAACACCGGTGTTTGAACTCTGAGTTCAACTTCCGTTCCAAATGTTTGAACTCAGGGTTCTTCTTTTAGTAGTAGTAATAGTAGTAGTAGTAGTAGTAGTAGTAGTAGTAGTAGTAGTAGTAGTAGTAGTAGTCGTATTTGTAGTATTAGTAGTATTAATCGTAATAATAGAATTAATAGTATTAATAGTATTAATAGTATTAATAGTATTAATAGTATGAGTAGTAGTAATTGTAATATTAGGAAGTGTAGCATTAGTAGTATTAGTCGTAAATAATAGCAGTAATAGTATCAGTAGTACTAGCAGGGTTCGAACACAGGTGTTTGAACCCTGGGTCGAACACTGGTGTTTGAACCGTGGGTTCGAACACTGGTGTTTGAACCCAGGGTTCAAACACTGGTGTTTGAACCCCTGGTTCGAACACTGGTGTTTGAACCCTGGGTTCAAACACCGGTGTTTTGAACCCTGGGTTCAAACACCGGTGTTTGAACTCTGAGTTCAACTTCCGTTCCAAATGTTTGAACTCAGGGTTCAACTCGAGTTCCAATGTTATGTTCCGAGCCCCCCCCCCCGGACCCCCCGCCCCCCCGGTGTTCGAACCCAGGGTTCGAACACCCTGCAAAAACCTATGCTCGCCCAAGGCAACGTCCTCCCGAGGCAGCATGACCCGGAAAGCAGAACCCACACGAAATCGCTTTGTGGTGGAATTTGAATCAACATAAAAGCAATCACAACCACAAACTGAACGAAACAAAAACCAAAATCAAAAAGGACAAAAAACAAGAAGTAAGCTGATCGCTTGATGCGAACAAAATACATCAAAGAAGAAGAACTACCGAAAGAAACCGCAAAAAAGACAGATGCCATGTGGTGTCTCCCCGAAGCAAACAAAATGAATCAAACCTTATTGCAACACAAAACAAAGAAGAAGAACGCGAAACCGCTTGGGGAGTTTTTTCGAAACTGTATTATTTTCTTAGTTACCTGTGCCAGCCTCATCCAGGTGTTCGTGATTGCGTTTTGTTTCGTTTTCTTAGGAGCAGTCAACTCTCACTGTGTGGTTTTGGCTCCAGCTTCCGAACCCGGAGTTGGGGTGGATCGACTCGAACCTGAACCCGGGGTTAGACTTTGGGTTGGAGTTATTTCCAACCCCAACTCATTTCTTCATCCCAGATGTTGGCTTTTCCCCAGCAAACGGGGTTGTTCAACCTGAACCCCCAATCCACTTCCTAGAGTCTTTAACATTTGTCGCAGATCTTCAACGCTTACATTGCTCCCGTTGGAAGAAACGCTGTCGCAGAACAAAGTTATTAACCCCCCCTTTTCTGAGACAGATACTTACGACATTGTCCATGTTTGCACCTTAGTCTGCACGCACAAGTTTGAACCGTCTTTTTGATTGCACAGATTGATTGTGCTTCTTCTTGCACCCTTGTTGGGACCGAGTGCGTCGCATGACCCAATGCCTTCAAGTGTTGCGTGGTGTTTCAAGTCTTGTTTGTTTGTTGGACAAAATGTTCATTCCTGATTCTGAATGTTGATTGGCTTTTGACCTCCGGGCAGCGTTTTCGTGGCTTTCTTTGATGTGTGGGTCTTCGCAGCTTAAGAGAGCGGAGCCCGAAACCCGGCATGAGTCGGGAAAAACAGGTGTTTCAAGCCTTGTTGTTTGTTGGAGAAGATGTTCATTCCTCTGAGTTTTGATTCGCTTTTAAATCCCCGGCAGTGTTTTCGTGTGGCTTTCTTTCTTTTGATGTTTGGTCTTCGCGGCTTGAGAGAGCGGAGGAGTGGGCTTTGGGCCAAGGGGCCATTGTTCGCTGGAAAAACGTTTCGATTCGATCATTCGTGTTTCTTTGCTTTTAATCCCCCCTGAAGCGTTTTCGTGTGGCTCTCTTCTTCTTACATGGAAGAAGACGTTTCTTCTGAGGTTATCGCGGAATCAGAGACGGAAGGGGCGGAATGCGCTCGAAGGGAGAGGGGGCGCTAACAACCTGAACGTGAGGGTTGCAGGTTCGGGTTAACCCCAAGTCTAACCTGAGGTTGGGGTTCGGGTTAACACCAACCCTATTCACTATTCCACAGTAACACATTGCAGCAGCACATTTGGAAACTCTTTACAAGCATGTCTGTTGTCATTTCGTAACCAATCAACGTGCTTGTGAAACAACGTTTGCTGAGAGAAATGACAATCTGATCTAAGGCTCAGTTTGGGAACCGTTTCTGGTGTTGAAAACTGGCTGTGGCCGTTGCAGTTGCGGGATGCTGCCACCGGTTTCGTGACTTCATGCAAAAAAAGAAGCAGCTGAAGTGAACCGACATCCGAATCCACTGCGTTAGTTTGACACCAGCTTGAGAGCCTTGAGGCGGCAACAATTGGATTTTGGGTGTCATCCATGAGATCTTCGATGTTGAAATTTGTATCTTGCGTTTAAGGACCGAACGGCGGGATTCGCAGGATTTAAAATGTTGGAAAGTGTAACGTTGTAGTCGATGCACTAGTCGCCGGTTTTGTAAAAAGTTGCATGTTACAACAGTCCAATCGGAGGTTCCGTTCTGGTAAGCTGGGTCGAGTGAGTGCATGCCGGGGTCATCGCAAACGATGCGTTCAACTGCCGGGCACGACAGCCGTCTCCTCAGCCTGCTTCTGACAGGTTTCGGTCGCCTGATCAGTGCTAATTGGAAGATGATTCGCTTTGCAGGATGAGTGTTGCATCGGCTTTCCGCGCATGAGCTAATTGTTTGAGCTTGTTGCGCACGGTCAAACGTTGTAGCTTTTGGGATTGTGGAAGCTAAGATGAG